CCAAGGATTACTGGTGATTACCAATGATTACTGGTGATTACCAGGGATTACCTACTCTGTGTACACCTGATTACCTCAGTTGGGCACCCCTCGGCGTGCTAGGACATTTCACGGAAAGGTTTTGTACGGATTCTTGCTAGCACAGAACTAAAACCGAGGCTCCTGTACCGAACCGTAACTTGTTACTTAAGTTTCGTATAACGCGACGAAAAGGGTTTGAAGTTACAATTCCAAATCTCGCTCGAAACTCGTGATGCCATCCGATTTCTGCGTCCCATGCTCCCGGCCTCACTGGTGATGTGCTTGACGGCCTGCAGGAGGAGATGGAGGACCGGCCGCGGGTGTCCACGCTCATCAACTCGCTGGCCAACTACTCCAACACCATCCAGCCCACGCCCGCGGACCCGGACGCCAAGCCGGCCCAGGGCGGCGCCTCCATGGGCACGCTGATCGGCGTCTACCTGCCCTGCATCCAGAACATCTTCGGCGTCATCCTCTTCATCCGCCTCACCTGGGTGGTCGGCACGGCGGGGGCCGTCGCGGGCTTCCTCATCGTCTTCACCTGCTGCTGCGTGGTGAGTAGTCTCTCTCTCTCTCTCTCTCTCTCTCTTCCACTCTCTTCCACTAACTCTCTACCACCCACTCTCTACCACTTACTCTCTACCACTCTACCTCCCCTCTGCCCCTGACTAATGCTCCGCTTGTCTTTCACGCAGACCATGCTCACGGCCATCTCCATGTCCGCTATCGCGACCAACGGGGTGGTGCCGGCAGGCGGGTCGTACTTCATGATATCCCGCTCGCTCGGCCCCGAGTTCGGCGGCGCCGTCGGCATCCTGTTTTACATCGGGACGACGCTGGCGGCCGCCATGTACATCGTGGGCGCGGTGGAGATTGTCATTGTGAGTGAAGCATACCTCTCTCCTCGGAGGACGTGACCCGTGACCCTCTCTGGTGGTGCAACCCCCCGGTGACCTCTGACCTCTGTGCAGACGTACATGGCCCCCTCCATCTCCATCTTCGGGGACTTCACAAAGGACGCCAGCGTCATGTACAACAACTTCCGCGTGTACGGCACGGTGCTGCTCATGATCATGGGCACCATCGTGTTCATCGGCGTCAAGTTCGTCAACAAGTTCGCGACGGTCGCCCTGGCGTGCGTCATCTTCTCCATCATCGCCGTGTACGCTGGCATCTTCGTTAACTGGAACGGCAACGACAATTTGTTGTGAGTAGTTTCAACTTACACATTCTTTGCCCGTCTCCGTTTCGCCTTTCCTCGAGTCTTGCGCCAGGAATTTCAAAACTCCCGCTCTCTGCAGCATGTGCGTGCTGGGGAAGCGACTGCTCAAGGACGTGCACCTGGACAACTGTACCAAGACCCCGAACGGCTACCTGTACAACTTGTTCTGCAAGAACAACCTGTGCGACCCGTACTTCATCACCAACAACGTGACCAAGGTCCGCGGTATCAAGGGCATCGCCAGCGGCGTCTTCTTCGGTCAGTGCTCCTATGCCTGTCTGTTAGCTTTATCTAGTTTGCTTGCATAAGTTTCTTGTTTTTTAATCATTGCTTTCCTTAACTCCCCGTGCAGACAACATCGCCGACAGCTTCCTGTATGACGGCCAGTACATCGCCCGCGGCAAGGACCCCAAGGAGATCGACCGCCTGGACGGCTCCTCGTTCAACCAGGTGATGGCCGACATCACCACGACCTTCACCATCCTCATCGGTATCTTCTTCCCATCGGTCACTGGTGAGTCGAGTGCGCGAGGCGTGGGCGAGGGGTACTTAACTCCAATAAAAAGAAAAGTACACCTACCAAAAGAAATCAGACAAAATTAAAAATCGAAAGATCACAAAATTGGTGTACGCTTGAATTCTTAGTGAAGTACTTCTCGGTTGTGAGCTGTGACTGATCTTGACCTGAATGCGTTTCTCCTCCTCGTAGGTATCATGGCGGGCTCCAACCGTTCCGGCGACCTGCGGGACGCGCAGAAGAGCATCCCCATCGGCACGATCGCCGCCATCCTGACCACCTCGACCGTCTACCTGTCCACCGTGCTCCTGTTCGCCGCCACCGTCGACAACCTGCTGCTCCGCGACAAGTTCGGCCAGAGCATCGGCGGCAAGCTGGTCGTGGCCAACATCGCCTGGCCCAACCAGTGGGTCATCCTGATCGGCTCGTTCCTGTCCACCCTGGGCGCCGGGCTGCAGTCGCTGACGGGCGCGCCCCGCCTGCTGCAGGCCATCGCCAAGGACGGCATCATCCCCTTCCTGCAGCCGTTCGCCGTGTCCTCGTCGCGCGGCGAGCCGACGCGCGCCCTGCTGCTCACCGTGCTCATCTGCCAGTGCGGCATCCTGCTCGGCAACGTCGACTACCTGGCGCCGCTGCTCTCCATGTTCTTCCTCATGTGCTACGGCTTCGTGAACCTGGCGTGCGCCGTCCAGACGCTGCTCCGCACCCCCAACTGGCGGCCGCGCTTCAAGTTCTACCACTGGTCCCTGTCGCTCATCGGCCTCTGCCTCTGCGTCGCCGTCATGTTCATGACGAGCTGGTACTACGCGCTCTTGGCCATGGCCATCGCCGGGATCATCTACAAGTACATCGAGTACCGAGGGTAAGTCCGCTCCACTACCGCTACCTGAAAATTTTGAGAGAAATTTTTTTTTACAAGAATTGTTCGGAAGATTTTTTAAACCTTTTACCTTTTTCGAAAATCGTGTTATGTAATGAAATTTGTTATAATGTTTTGAAAAATTGATATATTTATCCTAAACCCCGTGTCTGCAGCGCGGAGAAGGAATGGGGTGACGGCATCCGCGGTCTGGCGCTGAGCGCGGCGCGCTTCTCGCTGCTCCGGCTCGAGGAGGGCCCGCCCCACACCAAGAACTGGCGGCCGCAGATCCTCATCCTGACCAAGCTCACGCAGGACCTGGTGCCCAAGTACCGCAAGCAGCTGGCGTTCGCGTCGCAGCTCAAGGCGGGCAAAGGGCTGACGGTGTGCGTGTCGGTGCTCAAGGGCACCTACACGGCCAACTGCGGCGAGGCGCTGGCCGCCAAGCAGAGCCTCAGGCGCACCATGGAGGAGGAGAAGGTCAAGGGCTTCGTGGACGTGATCGTGAGCAGGGACGTCAGCGACGGCCTCAGCCACCTGTGAGTACTAGTCGCGAGCGGTGCCATCGGCGTATAGCAGGGGTTGTAATTTTTTCCAGAAAAGTATTCTTAGGAATTACTTTTTAAAATCTCGTATTT